AGTCTGGGGACACGGCCTTAAAGGGGCAGTGTCCCAATCTTCCTGATGTCCCAAAAAAGGTGTTTTAAGGGCCAGCACCAGTCACATAAAGAGTCCATAAGCCCCAATATGCCCACCGACAGTCTTAAAGGGCCATACACACCAAATAAAAGTACATACATTTTCACAATCTCCCAGGGGCCATAGTCATGCGGGAGGAGGCTGGCAAAGAGGCTTCTCCACAACCCAGGGAAACAGGGCAATTTGCCATTTAAAGGGCCCGTTACAAATAGCAGTTGTAACAAGGTGTCAATCCATATCTGCCAAGTGACCCTATGTAGGGGGACCAGTCTCTATTCTGCTCTGTGTCCGTGTGTATCAGGGCTCTGAGGACAGGTGTCAATCCATATGTCAAGGTGTCAATATGTCATATGTCAGGTGTCAATCCATATTCATTGTGATTTAGGAATGTTAGGTGATTTCTGCCCTTTATGGATTAAAACCAGACTCTGTATCAACTGTGTAATTTTCCATGGGAGTTTGCCATGGATCCCCCTCCGGCATGCCACAGTCCAGGTGTTAGTCCCATTGAAACAACTTTTCCATCCCTATTGTGGCCAGAAAGAGTCCCTGTGTGTTTTAAAATTCGCCTCCCCATTGAAGTCAATGGCGTTTCGGGCGGTTCGCCGGTTCGCGAACATTTGCGGAAGTTCGCGTTCGCCGTTCGCGAACCGAAAATTTCGGGTTCGCGACATCACTAGATAGCAGTTATTAGTGTTTCACACGTAATGAGTATCCTATGGCTGTAACTGTAAGGTGATCAATATTAATCAATATTAAACTGTAGCTCATGAGAGCTCTGTAGCCTACATAGCGTGTTCGTTTTTAAACTGAAAACACAATTAGTGCGTTTTTAAGCTAAATAATAAAAAAGGTTAGCCGTTTTGATATTACCCCAGCGATTTCGGTATGGGCAATAAATAGTAGGCTGTCTTTAGCAGCGAGGTACCCAACTCACTTATGTGTGCCGCTAATGTTGGAGCTAGATCTTCTTAGTTTGTGTGTCTGTGGCTGTATAGTGGTATCATAATATTACTTCAGGTTGCAGCAGCGTGATTGAAGGGCAACTATCATCAGTGTAAAGGCATATCAGAACAACCTAGCGTTTCATAAATTCTTTAAGGACATGGATATATAGGTTAACTAACTACATAGTAAATGCAAGCGTATAAATAAAAATGTGAACTATAAACGGCAGGATATATAGGTTAACTAACTACATAGCAAATGCAAGCGCATAAATAAAAATGTGAACTATAAACGGCAGGGTGACCAGGTTGGTCTGCATGGCCATCTGAGGGGAGCCTGAGGGGAGCTGCTACCATACTGTCCCTGGGTCGCCAGGCCTCCTTCTGTCCTCTCTATGCCGATCTCCGTCTGCCGGTCGGGCCCCCTGCAGCCCCTTGGGCACTCAGAAGCAGTGACTGTCTGCTGGGCCCCACCACAAAGACCACGGGCTGTCCACTCCCTGCACTTCCCTGGCTCCGTGGAAGTCCCTTGAAGTGTGCACTCCTGTGTCTCACCTAGTGCCGGCCACACATTTGGAGCTGGTGTCCATCCCTCACGACCACTGGTCCGTCGGAAGAATAGCGCGGTCCCATCCCACAGGGCTCACGGCATCGGTGACAAGGACCCCACAAATCCAGAGGCCTGGGTGCCTACTTCTCCAGTGGCCAGGGACCTGACACGAAGGAGCCGTCCAGTGCTTGGCTCTGCCAGGGCCCGCATGGGCTGCCCATGTCAGACCCTTTTGGTGCTTCTCCGTCTGGAGTGAGTCCTCGGGCAGGCCTCTTTCCGGTAGCCTTGCTCGTTCCAGTTGAACGGTTTGGACCCCTAGTGGTAACTTCCGCCCTGGGGTGTGCCGCCTTCATGAGGCCGTGATTACCCCCTCCGGCTGGGGGGGGAGGAAGCAGAGCCGGGCCGCCATCTGCTACGGTGTGGTCTTCCATGTAAGTATTATAGCCGATATACTATTGTCTCTGGGCTGGTGGTCTAGTATCTGTGCGTCTGCTTTGGCTACCATCATCCAGGCTTATGACAGTGAGTAGGCCTGTTTCGGTATTCTCGGAGTTCCCGGCCCACAACCGGCCTCAATTTGGTATCCCCGTAAAGCTCGGGTGCTTCTCGTTAATTATATGTCGAGTATTCTTGCTTTGGGATAGTCCGTGTGTGGATTTTTTGCTGTTTTTCTGGGCTCAGGCCTGGAGGCATGGTGTCCTGCTGCCTTGCAGCTCGTCGGCCCGGCCCGGCCCGGCCCCCAAATTATTTAATATTTTTGACACATTCAATTATTTAATTTATTAAGAAGAATAATACAATGTTTGTAATATTTTTATATTTTTTGATGTATTCATTTTTTTAAATATTTTAAATGTTAAAAGTTTTCCAAAATATTAATTCACTTGGAAAGCACATGCAAAAATATTAAATCTAGACGTATATTAGTTAGTCAACTAAGTCTCTCAGAGCATCCCCACATCTGACTTCACTGCCACTTACACCCCTACAATTAAACTGTCAATCTTTGTCCATTTGAAATTTCTGAAGAAATACATAATAAGGAGGTTATTACAGTAGGGTTTTAGACTGGCATCATACTGATGAATGGGGCACACTTGCAGACATTAGGAGCAGGAAATAACTTGAGAATGTTATGAACAAGCAATATACTGTTATTGAAAGTATACTGTAGAGTTCCAAGAGAGTGTCTAAAGGTGTTCTATTCAATAACGCATTGGTTACCTAGTGAGTGAATCATTTAAAAACAATGAGCATGTGTGTTTTCAAAAAAGCATTAATTTGATTTCACAGCTTATGGGTAATTTATTTGTTTACACATGGTAAATGATGCTGTTTGTTGATGACTCTAACATTTAATATAAAAAATAACAGCACCCAGAGATTGGAGATCACACCTTGATTGATGAGTAAAACTGATCTGTTCTTTACTTGTGAGTTGGATACTTCATAAATGTGTGTGAAATAAATGCATTATTTTTATGTTACTTATACAGAGTTACAAGAGTTTTGGGCTAGTAATTTCTGTGCATAGATTGCATCGATTGTAATCATGCTTTGCATGCTGCTAACAGACAACATATAGTGGCATGGGGCTCCCTTCCGATCCACCCAAGTTAACTCAATTTATCTCACACAAATTCTATTCACGGGCTTCAAATGAGAATGTTACGCCTCTCAAGCTTTTTAGATACCCTAATTGGGAACAATTCAGCCAAATAAAAAAACATGGTCCCTGGTGGGGATCATACCACCCAAGTGCTTTGGATTGAGCAAACCGGAACTTGCTCTTTAGCATGTAAGTAGGTTTAACTTATTTATTTATGCTTACACTCCTTTTTATGGTGTACACTATTGTGGTTCTGTTTGTTTATCTCCACATATACACGGACAAAAGAATTTATATTTACACCTGTATCCTTGAGTCAGGTTTTATGGCTCCATTGCACTTGAGTGTAAATTTTTTTAGATTTTACCTACCCTTGCTTTATAGTTCTACATACTTCACCATAAACAATTTTTATTTGTTTATTTACCTCTGCACTTGATCCATAGGCGGGGATTATTCCGCCCAGGTGCATAGACTGGAGATATATTGAAGCTCCAGGAAAGTGTGAGTGTGCATCTTTTATTTTACCTTTCATCACTACAGTTTTAAATACTACACAATTATTTCTTCTCTGGTTCTCTCCAGATTGTCAAGAATTACTGAAGCGCTCTACCTACCCCCCTGTTTTTATTGGAAAAGAGAGACTCTGTATTGGTGTTCAAGCTGCTTTTGGACTATTATCACATTGCTTCTGCAATTTTTGTGTGATTGTATAAATAAAAAATTTGTATTATACACCAATACATGATGAGACTCTCTTTCTCTTGAAGAATGTAATTATTTTTTATGAGAATCATTATCATTCTACATAAATCCACAATCATGAATATCATATGGAACTTCAACATATCTAACAAATAAAGAATCACATAATAGCAAAGAAATAGCAAATGAACACAGAAAAGTGTCTAAAGCTAGAGAGTAAGAAAAGACAAGAAATATTTCAAATAAAATGAAAGCTAATCAACTAAAAAACTCGAAAAAGGGTCACCAATCCCTACAAATAAAGTAACAGAAGAGAAATATCACTATCACTATAGTGCAATATTCAGAAGCTGTCACATCATGCCTTGTTCTGCTGATCAGTCTGGTGATGGCTTCTGATATCCAGTACTGTTTTTACAATTCTTATTTAGTTTTTCCTTGGTTTTTTGGTTTTCTATTCTATGTCTGGTTTTCTTTATGCTGGGTTTTTCTGGGTTCATTTCTGTAATCCGTCCCTGGAATTCCCAGTGTCTAGGTTTCCTTTAAATGTTTGTTTTATGTTGCCACACCCGTTTGTTTTCCATCATTCCTTTTGTTTCAGTGTCCTGCAGGCAGCTGCTCAAGCCTTCTGCCCCTTCTTGCAGGTAAGTGCTATATGTGTGTTTCTTATGGTTCTTTTAGTATACATTAGGCAGAGTAGGACCTGCCAGATATGGGGTACATTGGCGTTGTTGGCAGGCTTATGCAATGTATGATCATTTAATGTGACTAAATCCCCATGATTTTCATATATAGTACTCATATATAGTTATTTCTCCTCTTGTTTTGCCTATCATATCTTGTCTTGTTTTAGTTTGTATTCCCAGTCCATGTACAGTCCTGTCCTGCCCCTGTTTAGTTAATGTTCCCTTATGTATTGTGTACATGTTCTGGGTTTAGCTTCCTATCCTTCTCTGGTTCTGGGTTCTACTATTTCTGTCTTGTTTTCATGTTTGGTGACTATCCTAGCTTTGCCTTTTTTCTGTACTGGATACATGTCTGCTGCAGAGCCCCCCTATCCAGTTCCTGGGAGGTCTGCATATCAAGCTCCTAGTTCCTGGGATCCGCTGTAGCTGCATCAGGGTTCTGGTATGTGGCCGCGCAAACGCTGGTGCTCAACGCCAGAGGACGTGTGGTTACCCTGCACCAGGGCCTGATAGTCCATTACCACGCTGAGACTCCCAACTTCTCATCAGGCACTCAGGGGTCCTGGTTTCCGGACCGCCACCCGTGACAGAAGCTAAATCAACTCATATGAGGCTTATAGCCAGCAGCATACATATGATAGAGCCCGAAAGACCAATATTAACACAGTAAAAATAAGTAGACACTTTTAGAGTCCCAATAATGAATTCCAAAATGTAAAATATAAAAATAAGTTCACAATATGTACGAAAAGGGTAAATACATTCCCACTATGTGTATGAACGACACAGAGTAGCGTGATCCTCAAAGATGGTGTGCAAAGTATCCAAATACCAAACTAATGTTTTACTAAAAATAGGTTCAGTAAATAATTAAAAGTAAACCAGTAAAAGGGTAAAAAAACTGGTTGCTCACACTCTGTAGAATGTTCCACTTGTGCCTAGGAGAAAAATAGAAAAGCATAGTGCTCCCTGCAAACCAAGACATTTATTCAAACAAAAAGATTAAAAACACAAAGTATCACATAATATGACCTGCCAAAAGAATACTATGATTTAAAAAAAAAAAAATAAAGGAGAAAGGAAAGGAGGGACAAAGCCAGGGAAAAAAAGGAAAAATTCAATATTTGTTTGATTTGACTGCTCATTTAAGCCATAAGGTATTGAATTTAAGAATAGAGGTGAGCGGACACCTGGATGTTCGGGTCCGGCGGATTCGGCCGAACTTTGAAAAAAAGTCCGGGTTCGGGCTCGAACATGACCCTGAACTTGACCCCGAACCCCATTGAAGTCAATGGGGACCCGAACTTTTGGCCACAAGAATGCCTCTAAAAAAAGTCCTGGAAAGGGCTAGAGGGCTGCAAAAGAAAGTAAAATGGGGGTAAGAGTAGGACAAGTGCCCTGCAAACAAATGTGGATAGGGAAATCACTTAAAATAACATAAAAAATAAAAATACAGCTGAGCCATAAAATACCACTAGATGGAACACAAATCAAAATCTAAAGCATGGCTGTCAGGAGGATCACCAGAATTATCAATTTGAGAGAGGGTTGGAGTGGTATTCTCTTTCATTGTTCAAACTGAGCTCAACTCCTGATGCATGGAGAAAAGGCCTTCACAAACCTCTGCTATTCTGTACATAGTTTATACTAAGTGACCCATAGGTTGAGGAGGCGGTGACCATGGCAGTGTAGGTGGAAGCGGCGGTGGAGGAGGAGGTAACCAACACTGTTTTTTATATATATATATTTTCTTTAATTGGGGTAGCCCCCAAAATATTGGGACATATAAAAAAATAAACATTTGCGGCCTGCGGTGCATTTCTTGCAGTCCTGATGCATGGAGAAATGCTCAACTCCTGATGCATGGAGAAAAGGACTTCACAAGCCTCTGCTATTGTGTACATAGTTTATACTACGTGACCCATAGGTTGAGGAGGCGGTGACCGTGGCGGTGGAGGTGGAAACGGCGGTGGAGGAGGAGGAGGTAGCCAACACTGTTTTTTATATATATATATATTTTTAATTGGGTTAGCCACCAAAATATTGGGACATATAAAAAAAGAAAACTGTTCCGCAGAGCGACTGATACGTGCGTGCTGTATCTGAAAATCCACTATCGCCTGCTGCTGCTTGCACAGTCTCATGAGGCGGTTAGCGGGAAGGTCGAAGTTACGCTGCAGCGCAGACAGGCGAGCAGCAGCATGGTGTGAATGCCAAAAGCACGCACAGGCGGCCCGCACTTTCTGCAGCAGCTCTGATATATCTGGGTATACACCGTGGCAGTGTAGGTGGAAGCGGCGGTGGAGGAGGAGGCAACAGGAGGCAAAGCTGTGTACCCAAATAAAGATTGTTAAACGTTGTATCCTGGAACTGTGTCCCATCTGGTTACTGGGGAAATGGGTCTGACGTATTCTAATCAAAGGGGCTTCAATTGGTGGCAAGCGGCGGGATCCCATGTCCCTGCCAACTGATCCATGGACTACAGTACTCTAAAGTGACCTACACAGCAGGACTTGTGTGGAGCCAGAGGAATAACGCCTGGTGGGCGTAACAAGGCCAAACTGCCTGCTGCGCTCATGGAGGACAACCAGGCACGCAGTGAGGCTACGAACCCCAGCCAGGGGCCAGAGATTAGGAGGAAGTGCACAAGGAGGTGGAACGTCACCTGGCATATTACCGAGAGCCACCCTCAGAAGGTGCAAGCCTACATCCTTGCCAATAGACAGAGAGCGACCTCCATGAACCCAGATAAAGGAAGAAGGGAGCAGAGGGCGCCGGATAACACAACCACCCTGGCCCACAAGCTACCATACAATGCCTTCAAAGACTTCAAGGAAGCAGAAGAAGGCATCAATGACTTTTTACAAGACTTTGAGCGCCAGTGCCTACTCCAAGACGTGGACCCCAGCAACTGGGTCAGCATACTGGCCAGCAAACTAGTGGGGAAGGCAGCAGATATTTACCGGGCTGTATCAGAATAGCCCTTTATTACACAAATCCTCCTAGCCCGGTATGTGGTCACCCCCGAGCAATACCGCCAAAAGTTTAGGGAGACCTGGAAAGGGGAGAAGGATGCCATTTACTGCGCCTTCCATGGTGACCACGGGTAATGGGGAATCAGGGTTGATTCCACACAGGGACCCTGACAAAAGGCTACCACATGCAAGGAAGGCAGCAGGCGCGCAAATGACCCACTCCCGACGCGGGGAGGTAGTGACGACAAATAACAATACAGGACTCTTTAGAGGCCCTGTAATTGTAATGAGTCCACTTGAAATCCTTTAACTCTGATCAATTGGAGGGCAAGTCTGGTGAAGAGCGACTGACCCGTGAGTGCTGCAGCTGAAACCCCGCTATCGCCTGCTGCTGCTCGCTCAGTCTCTCCAGCATGTGCAAGGTGGAGTTCCACCTTGTGGGCACGTTGCATATGAGGCAGTGAGCGGGAAGGCCAAAGTTACGCTGCAGGGTGAGAACGCCAGAAGCGCGCCCAGCCGCTACAGTGAATGTCACATCCTGTTCCAAGTTGTAGATCAGTCTGGTGATGGCTTCTGGTATCAAGTACTCTTTTTACTGAAGCTGCATCAGGGTCCTGGTATGTGGCCGCACAAACGCTGGTGCTCAACACCAGGGGGAGTGC